AAAGCAGTTAGCCCCAAGTCCCCCTGGCCTTCACGGTCCTTATAGTCAAATTAATATAAGACATGCAACAAGAATACAAGGGGAAGGTGTAGTTTCAAAGTCAATATAATATTTAGTCTCAAAGACTCTGAACCATGGTCTGACAAATTCTTCACCCAAATTTGCCATAATCTGCCAATTACCAGCATTTCCAATGTCAATTATTTGAAACTCGGCAGATCCAGATAGTATGGAAAAGGGTTTTCATCGCAGATCAAGACAGTACTGAAAAGGGCTTTTACCTGGGCTTGTCTTTCCTTCTCCATCTCAAGGTTTTGTCGCAGCTCCCTGGTTTTTGCACGCTCAAGTTCTAGCAATCTCTGTCTTTCGATATCCTTTTCAACTTCAGCTGCTCTCTCCCTGGTATATTAGTCCATATGTTAGTTGTAGACCAACAAATATCTAATCAGTACAATATAAAATAAGATGAGCCACTAAGGAAGCAACACCTATCAAGTTCTTGAAGTAGCTCAGCTTCTCGTAAAGCTGCCTCTTCAAAAGATTTCTGGCGGGCACGTCTCATAAGAAGTTTTTTCTGCCTGCGGGCGACTATGTCTTCATGGAGCTTGGACTTTTCTCTGATAGCAAAGGAAGATCACAAAAACTGAATTTGAAGTCTACAAAAATACCAAGCTAAAAGAAACTGGAAACCTTCCCAAAAAATAGGCACAAAAGTTGAAGAATTTAACATGTATAATATTATTTATACAAATTTATAAATAAACCCAATCCTAGACATGTATTTATAAAAAAACCCAAGCACTATTTAAACATATAAACACACCCAAAACCCATCATTACACACACTCAAAACCCATTTATAAACACACCCAAAAAGTTGACTTTGGGGTTGATTTTGGGTGTGTTTCTATGTTTAAATAGTGCTTGGGTTTTTTTATAATTTCAACTCCCATTTTGGGTGTTTTAGTGAAACTCCCTATTATTTATTTTGTCCAGCTGATGCATGTAAGATTTGATTATTTTAAAATTGGGTGCTCATCAGCCATCAAAGATTAGGTGCCTTCAAAATAAGATCCTATGGCAAATTGGACTCAGAACATCTTAACAATCAACATTTGAGCTAGTGCATCCTTTAGTAAGATAAGAACCTCATTCTTTTCAACATAAAAACGCCTGGGAGAAGTACTACTTGACAGTGCGACACAATTTATTGCAATTCAATATAAGTAAGGATGCAAGCTTAACAATAAAAATTGTAAAATAGCCTGATTACTGACTGCTGATATTCTGAAGCTCATCTAGTGTTGTCTAGCAGTTAGTTTTATTACAAGTTAATACCAATTAAAACTAGGGATGGAAAAATTTAACACTAGAGGTAAAACTGCAGACTTCCTGGAATGAGCAAAGTTGTCTGTGTTACCAGCCTATAGCAATTTCAAAGTAAAAAAAAACAAAAATTTTAATAAGAACTCGAAAGTAATATTCAGAGGTATTTATAGATGTGAAAGAGGGTGTCACCAGTACATGTGTGGTAAGTGGTAAAAATATTTTTACAAGGAATGAATAACCATTAATATTTTTATCACTTACAAGGCATGGATGCAATCCTTTATTTGCTTAAGGCGTGCATCATCTTCCACAGGAGCTGAAAACAAAGTGCTAAGTTTACCATTTCCACAAACAAATTTTAACATGACCATTCTCCCACGGCCAATAGCTGTAATGGGAATTATAAGGAAAGAAAACTTTACAGCTTGGAGAAAGAATCTGATGTCCATCCTTGGTTGGTGATTCATGTAATGCATGTTCTTTCTGAAGGATGTCCCATTCTAATTCAGCCTCCTCTAGTTCCTATGACATATTCAGTTAATACAAAGACATGTATAAGTTGGGAATGTAACGAAAAACAACAATTGTAATTCAGGCTTACCATAACCTCTTGGTCAATTTTGTTTGAGAAAATATCAAAGTACGACTTTGCAGAAGTTAAACTGGCAAGGACCTGTTACAAATCAATAATTATATATTAGCTTCTAGGAGATGGAAAGGCAGTATAAGTCAACAACTAATCTAGGAAACCCATGGAAAAAGCAAGGGATATAAAAAAAAAAAAAATTAGTAGATGGACGTGAGGTAGATCAATTTCATCTCTTATCCTAATCCCTCCTTTTGTAACATTTATAGGACACAGACGAATAGTTATCCTGTTTTTCTTATTTTGGGAACATAAGAATTCATCTGTTTCAAGTGTCTACAGCAATATCAAAGTAATAGAAAGTTCTAAGATGTTTTTTTTTAATCTTTCAATATGTTAAGTAAACATTGGATGGATGCCTGTTTAGATAGCATTTGAGATGTATAGATACCATGACAGTTACGACTGTAAGTATCAAATTAGGCTTTTTAAAGCTCCAATAATTTTATAAATAAATAAGACCTAAAATTGATTAAAAAGCAAAATATTCATAGCAGAAAATTGAGAAACAATCTGTTAAACAACACATGCTACAAGATCAAATATGCCACCAACACATACAAATATTGTATTGACGTCAGAATGCAACCCTTTTTATAACAGAAGCAATGACCTCTAGCAAGCAATCCTAGCTTGATTCGGAAAATATAAATAAACAATATAACTTTTTGGTTACAATGTATAATGTGAGTCCAAGTTAATTTATCTGAATTTGTGCTACATGCAGTTCAATAACAACTTTATGACCATCTAAGAAGAAATTTACCCCAGAGGATTGTAAATGTGTGGTGTTCACTTCGTATAAAATTATACATGATTGAACTTACTTCCTCTACCTTAAATTTGTTGGATGGCGTGATCAAGCAAAGATTTTTCAATGCAAACAAAATTACAATAACATCAATAATATCACTCTCTGCAATCAAATTAAATTTTATCACATCATCTCTAAAATGTTCCTCACCTGAAGAACGGACTCACGAGTACTTTCAAAATCTGGGTCAGATCGTTTTGAAGCGCTTGAAGTTAGCACTTCTCTCAGGACCTTACATGTAAAATGTGGTTCAATTAATAAGTAAGATAATTTCAAATTGCTGATTAAAACAATTAAAAAGAAAGAAAACCAGTTCCAAGGAAAATGTTTGGCATATACTCCAATATCTTTGACATATTATGCTATGACAACAATAAACAATAATTTTCCTGTTACCTACCTCTTTAGCTTCATCCCCTTCACTTTTCAATCTACACAAGACTTGGCAAGCCCTTTTCTCGACATCCCCAGACCTTCCATCTAGAAAAGGAACAATGGGAAAAATTAAAAATTAAAAAAAACAAAAAAGGAAAGACAAAACATTCACTCCCAACATCTCCAGAATAATTCAATAAAATTAGAGAAATATAACAAGTGGATACCAGGCTTTGACGATGCCAGAGTCTCAATATTCTTCCAAACATTCTGAGGAATCAGAGAGATATCTTCATCCGGGCAGTGTAGACAAGCACCAGCAATCAGTGCTAATGAAAGCCTCAGCAAGTGGCCCTCACAATTTGGACGGGCAAGCTCTCCCAAGCCAAGAACACTATCAGCTGCGGCGAGAAAAGACTGCAGCAGACGTCGCTCAGCAAATGGGATACAATCTACAAGAAGTCTCATTGCCCGAGTCCTCACAAGTAATGATGCATCAGATGAAGCAAGGACAACCACCAGATTCCATGTACTTGAAACCAAATGAGAAATAATCGACTCAGGAACAGATGTAACAAATCCAGGTGAAACTAAATTTTTGTAGAACATGGAAGATTGAAGGGCAGTTCCTCCACTCAAATCTTGGCCAACAAGTTTTCCTAAGTGCTTAAGGGCTATAGATCGTTGCTCAGGTTCAGGATGACCCAGCATTGTACAGAACAAATTAGCAAGAGGAACCTCACATTCCTTGAGGGAATGGACACCCTTGGTAAGCAAAATCAATAGCCATTTATCACTTTGCAAGCGCCAAGCAATTTTTGGTGCATTGCAAGAACTACTTTTTATTACAGAGCAGATGGAGCCAATCACACTATTAAGGCCAAACTTATGGGGCACAGCAAGTACACAATCAAGCACAACAGAGGCAACTTCCCAGCATCTGTTTTCTTGAAGGGTCAGAATGGTCTCAGAAATTACTTCTAAACCAGTCCTCCAATGATCAGGGAACTGGTCAACTGACGTAGATGGGAAAGAAATTTCAGCGTCATTTTCTAGAGCATCATTAACTCTTTGTGCAATTGATGCCAAGAATCTTGAGTACATAAAACACTCTGTTGATGTAATAGTCATCTTCTTAGATAGTTGATGATGAAGATTCCAACATAGCTCAGTCGTCGAGTAAAGCTTACCAATAAGAACCTCCAAGTGTTTTGAGAATTCTTCTATTTCCTCAGGAAATAAATGATAAACCTTTTTATTCACAATATCAGCACCAACATTGTTACCTTCTAACTTCTCGGAGGCCTTATCTTGACTTGAACTACGGTAGACATCACTGAGGAACCATGAATGTGACTCCAGTCCACTTTCATGTTGTCCCTCAGTGGGCAGCTCCAGTGGGATGGCACCAAAGAACTGCAAAGTCTGAACTAACAGAAGTTTGCAACTCTCCATAACACTCTGGAATGCACAAAGGTAATTGTGGAAAGAAGAAGTTGGCTCAAAGGCAGTAAAATCGGCCCAAAAAATTAAGGACTGCAGCATTTCCCTCCTCCTCTGAGGAGATAAATCAGGAAAGACAGACGCCAAAATGAAAATTGTCAATCCTCTGTTGTATACTTTTTCAGTAGAATTATCTTGGTTAGCACCCTGTCTGATGTTAGTGAAAAGCTCATCAAAGCATAATGACTCAAAATTAACACATGAATCATCTACCAATGACCTTTCCTCATCAGACACCTTACACAAAGAATATGAAATGATTGGTTTCAACAAAGACAATACAGAATCAAGAAATGACACATCGCAGTAAGATGCCCTACAAAGACATGCCAGCACTTGCACCAGTCTAGGTATCTCGGGCACCATTGCTTCCATGTGCTCAGTTACAATGGCTTCAAGTGTATAGAGGATGATTGCTTTGGCATTCTTTGAAACATAGCCTTTCAAATGGTCAGAACTATTTCGAGCAGAAAGCTGCTCTGTATGTAGAAATGGCCATGAACACAAATCAGAGAACCAACACAAAATATCGGGCACCATACTGGAAGGAAGAGACCTCAACTGCAACCCAACAGCCTCCAAAATGGTTTCTCCAAAAGCTTCAAATTGCTTTTTCATATTAGGAAAGAACTTAAAGAGATCAGGGTAAATGACACGAAAAGATTGGTCCTGATGCTGCTGATTAGCTACTTCAAATCCTTTAATGGATGCAGAAACAATTTCGCCCCCTGATTCTTCATATTTTCGACTGACAACATTATCTACAACAGAAAGTTCGTCTGCAAATGTAGACAATAGAGATGTCAGCTGTGGCAGATCAGAAGCAAGTAAAAGCTGGTCCTTCATGTACTGTCTTGCATTACGAGATACTGCCATCCAACCAAGAAATCGAACAAGAGGGGATGTGCATCTAGAAAAAGTTGAAATCCTCTGCATCCAGGCTGAAGGTGGAATCAGATTTCCATAACGGAAACCATTTTTATTGATTGCAAAGCCTGTTTCCTCATCACCACCGCTTGAAGAAATTACCAATCTTTGAAGCAGTATCCACCGTCGTTGTATCCCATGTATTGTTTCTGGCTCCAACTGCAGATTGTTTTCTTTGAACTGATAATACAGGGATGTTAGCATCCCATTTAAGTACTCAGCAGATCCTAATGCAATGTCAATCACATGTTCTGGAGCACAGTATAGCTTAGTCGCTGAATTCAACAAGAATATCATACACTGCATAAGAATTTCATGCATCGAGTGCTGCTCCCTTCGCAATCGTTGAATCAGAAAGCAGCACAACAAAGCTTGATTTTGTCGAACCAAGGTGATGGCATCTGCAGATTGTACATCAAGCGGAGACAACCGAATGACTTGTTCATCAAATCCTACGGTGTAGTACGGACTAAGTCCTCCATCTGAAACCTTTTCTCGATACTCTCTGTCTAACTCCGCAGCCTCTAGCAGAATTTGAAGAACAATTTTGTCTCTTTTCCTTTCAAGAAGAGATATTGTTTCTAGATCATTCTTAGAATTTCCAGAGACCATTCGCGTCCCAATTTCATTATTTTGTGGAGTCCTAATCCCACTGACGTTTGTCTCCTTCATTAACTTTGGATTTCCTCTAAAAGACATCATAAAAAATGGATTGACATAGCACTCTGCAGCCAAGAGCAAAGCATCTATAGCAGCATCATGACTCTCAATGGTAATCTCATTCTGTGAATGCAAATCTAAGGCCAATCGCCGAAATTCAGAAGCCCTGAGCTCGCAGTCTTGATAGGTTATAAGTTGGAAATAATCTGCTTGCAAGTTGAAATATTCCGCAGAGAAACCAGCATCTAGTTTTAAGTCAATTTGAAACCTGTGTGGAAAATGTTTCCCGACCAGATGTTTTGGTTCAGAGCCAGAATCCCCATGGTTAGAGACAGAGCTGTTCTCGTTGGGACAACTGGATATACTTGTCAATACAATGTTATGCAGTTCTGGAGGTGCAAAAAGAAGACTGGCGTCTTCCGAAATGTCAATTTTTACGGCTGTATCAGAAACATCTATCTTCCCATCAAATTCATCCTGGCTGTTTGATTTTGAAGCTACCCCTTGGTGAGAAGCTGAAGAATGAGATAAACCAGATAAAGATTCAGGTTCCAGTGGTCTAGGGACTGAAGATGTTCGAAGGTCAATTCCAGGAGGTAGCTGCATGTGAGGTTCCAATATTGAGAGTAGCACACTGCATCAAGAATTGTATATCCATCAACAATCCAATATAGCCAACAAAAATTGTCATAGGCGAAAACACAAAATGTTAATTTGAAATATAAAAATCAATAAACAAAGTGGTATGCAGGAAACAACAGGATAACATTCACTTGTGCATTGTGAACTGTGAACTGTGAACTGTGGTAACAGTAAATAGAAGATTATTCATGCATTGTGAACTGTGGTAACAATAAATAGAAGATTATTCATCTTTTCTTCAGAGCCATATGGAATTTCATATACATTTGAGCAACATGAATTTGAATAAAGTAAGAGTTGAGCAGGCAAAGCCAACAAGTCAAAATAGCATTTATAATCAATTTTTTATACAAATATCCCCCACTCCCTTTTAAAACTAGTTATTAAAAATTTTCCTTAAGACAGGCATGTATTACCTAGGAGCAACTGATCCACGCCTCCATTCAGATTCCAGTGAAGGAAGAACTGCAGGTTTCTGCACTGCAGTGCGAATTACATTGAGGGCAATAACACAATTCTCTTCCTGCTTTTCTGGATGTGCAGAAGACAGATCTCCAAAGGCTATTATTCCCTTCAATCTTCCTACAGCAGGATCAAGGAAAGGCTCTAGCATCTCCACAAGAAAGAGTATCCTATGCTTAACTTCCTGAAAAAAGAAAAAAGTACACAAAAAAGAAGTTATTTTTTTTATTAAAAAAAAAAATTGAAACATAGCCGTTATAGAAAGATTCTTTTAACTCAATAAATAAAAGTAAGCTTATGTAGCGGTTATAAATCTCAAGAATACCAAAAGGGATAATTGACAATGACATTACAAAAAGCTAACACTCTAACTATCCAAACAGAAACATTTGAGCCCTCTACCTATCCAAGACACTAACATATAAACCAAAACAATGAAGCAGATAAACTTTTAAATTACCATTCATGATGACAAGAAAACTAAACTGAATGCAATACCTTATACTTTCCTAGCATATCATCCATGTGACCAGAGAGAGCCAGAACAATGTATTTTAAGGCAGCACGAGAACGAAGCAGGGAGTGGCGAGCACCCTAAAACAAGAGCAATGACAGAGTTTTTACATAATGAAAACAAAAGCTAGCTGTCAGAAAATGCATAACATTCAAAGTTCATGTAAACCTAGTACTCTATCCTGGATAAAGTTTTATTATTTATTTGAACCCAAAAAATATCTCATGTGCAAAAACAAGAAACTTTAACAGCTGACCCAGTTGTCACTTCATCAAAGTTTGATCGTATGCATATATGACTCAACCTATCTTCCTTACCTTTGACAATCTGAGATGATACATAAGAGCATTATAACATTAATATTTCTTGTTCATATAATTGAAAAGCATACCTGAATTACACCCAAAAGATCCTCTAGAAGCTCTACAGCCAGATCAACCTGTATTCAAACCAAAAAGAGGAAGTTCGAATAGAAGTGTAAACACACGGGAGAACTAAACCACACTATGAGAAAGTTACAGCAAAAGAAATCTGCCTCAGACAAACCTTTGCAATCACTTGACTTAGCCAAGGTGCTAGCACGCCACAACAGAGATCAATCAAAACACATGCAGCCTTAGCCTGCAAGACAAAACAGGTAAACACAGTTTGTTCCCAAGTGAGAACAATATGATTCTTGAAAAATAAAGCTTCGAGCAATAGAGTATGGGTTTGTGCTTATTAGAAGTTAAATTTATGGAATATATACTGCTATGAGTGTAATTATCCACAAAATATCAAACATTCTCACAAGTAAATTTAACTTATTCCATTTATATGCCTTGAACCAACCAATGTCATCCTTTTCTACATCAACAGAATATTATTTTTCATCCAATTGGTCATATTCTTAAATGCAAAGAATGTTTCTCTCATTTTCACATATAAAAATTTAAAAAAAAAAAGTATTAGAAATAGAGATGAATAGGCGAGGATAGCATTCTAAGCAGGCTAATAAAAATGAGCAAAGTCACTAACATGTGATGGTGAATATGATGATAAATAGCCAGCACAAGCATGAAGAAGCGGACGGTATAATGGTGAACACGATGTTGCTACTATCTGCAGTAATAACACCATGATCAGAATAATATGATCTACTGGTCAAAATACAATATCAAATTTACCAAGCCAAAACGAATCATTTTCATTAACATTAAGCACAACCTGGGAGAGGGCTTGTTGAACAATTGGTTGTTTCCATTGAGAGAAACTATCATCAACAATGTCAGACGGACGGCTAACAGAGGGACGAAGTGCTATAAAACCCAAAGAAGAACATGTGAAACAAATTGATCAACCAGAAATCACCCCAGAATTCTCAGTAAAATTCAAAAATCAGATCAACGAAATCCAAATTTCTAATTTAATGCAAAAAAAGTTTTAGAAAACCATTATGTTTAATACTAGAAAACTTAAAATTTGAAAGCAAACAAAGAAAAAAACAGTCCCCAGAAGAAGTGGAAACAAACTAGACCAAGTCAATTGGTCAACGAACCTAAGCTTAAACATAAAAAACAAAGTAGAAAATAATTACCACTTCAGACCAAGAAGAAAACATTAAAAAATAAACACATATATATGTCTGTATTATTGTCTGATTAAGTATAAAACTACTTATTGCAAAGCAACATTCAGAAGGCACACATTAGGGTTTAACCAGAAAGACAGAATTCTGGTTTCCAAAACTTTTAAGAATGACTGTGGAACTTCAAATTATTAGGACATCTATATGACATGACAATAACTAGGAAGAGCGATTAGGTGGTACAATCAACCTGGCAGTAATGCTTGAACTAGCGGTAACGCAGACCAGAAGTCAGACGTCCTATCTGCTAATTTGCTGCAGAGCTGAGGCTGAGAAACATCACAGGTTAAATAAATTGTAAGTGGATGGATAAGAATAGCAGTGAACAAAAAACAGACATCAGAATAACAGAGGATATTTATTGAGTTTAATATCACTATTGCTGTAATCAACCTGTGATGCACAAGCATAAAGAACATGTAAAATCCCTTCCTCCACTGCTCCTATATCCAAGATGTTAAGATAGCTTGAGTCCCAGTGATCACCAGGCAACTGGAACTCTTCTCCAAACAAGTTTGAGTAATCAACTAAAGGAGCTGGATTAGTTATTTCTGATTTTACTGCTTCATCTCCATATGTCACTTCACCAGGAGGTGTTGATCCTTCATGTGCCACAGGCTCTATAAGCTTATGCAGAACTCTAGCAGCCTGAGATCAAAAGCATACAAGTGTCCAATCATGTAGTAAAATTAAAACCTTGCCAAATGACCATCAAAAGGAAAAAGTGAGGAGACCCATTAATTACCATTCTGCAAACAATTCCTAAATCAGAATCTTTATATGCCTTCCTCAACAGCACAAAAATTGCATCTGCACGGAATACTATAGAACTGGATGTTGACAGGACGAAAGGTGAAGTGCCGCGTGATCTTCGAGGCTGCATACAATAGAAGGAGCAAGCTATAAATCATCTAAGACCATAAATAATGAAAAGTTCATTTAATATCAATCCTCTATACAGGCCACCGTTCTACAGTCCCGAGAGGGGAACATTGGAATAAAGTTATGCATGTGAAGTCAAAGGCAAAAAGAAAAGAAGACAATGATGAAGAAAAAAAAAGAGCACAAAAGAGACCTCAAAGTTAGAAGACACAGTTAAGGCTGATGACAGCTGACTATGTTTAGAAACTTCAGAGTCTGAGATATTGCCTGAAGACTTTGCAGCTGTCCTGCAGTATCAATACAAGACAACATTATAGTAAGTACATTGGCATAGCTGAGTGACCTAAATGTGTAATAAGAGTGCAAAAAGATGAGAGATCTACACAAGCAATGATGACTGAAATGCCAAAAATTATAGAACAAAGTCAAATTTACGGCTAACAGCAAACTTAACAAAATGTTTCAAATGTGTCATTCCCAAAAATGATCGTTGTCCATATAGACATCTGGTGTGCAAATGTTTAATGCAGCTTTTAGATGACTTAATTAGCAAGGACTTCGATTGTTGAACCATTGGAAATCAATTATTTGATGGGAACATGCTTTACTAAACATTGGAACAGGAAAAAGGAGAAAAGTGCTTCGTTATTGCACCTTAACACTGGCCTGTAATTCTTGGGCTTGAAAGAAATACATGAATTTCCAATGATTTTAGCTCATTTTTAGAGTTAAGTACAGGATAAGGTTTATGACCTCTACATTAACTAACGGACCAAGCAGAAGGCAGCCCCCAATCTCATAAAGCTAGATTGGCATTTAACCTGCCAAAGACCCCCATTCAGGTAACGCTAGAGTAGCATTTAGCCTGCCGAACTAATATATGTACAACATATTCGAAAAGATGCCAATATGCGCTTTTTCAGGGAACTCTTTCAAATCAGTGTCAGACCTTCAAAGCCAAGACTTCGCATAATTAACAAACTCCAATCCTTCAATTCACTTTATCAACCAAAACTAACCAAACAAAAGCGCTTGAACTACTAGTACTAGACTTTATTTTAGTACAATTACAGCACCCAACAAAATTTCTTTGATTACCAGTCAAACCTCCAAACAACAATCTTCTAATTACATCAACTGATATCCTTACCCTACAGGGTCTAAACTTCCTACACTTCTTTCCCATATAATCCCTGCATATTTGGCCCCCAAAAATAAAAATATCCCTGCACATCTGCCTAAAATAACCTTTTCACAGATTGCCACTTAAAACCCTACATCCTACAACCAACCCTCAAACGTGTCATCAATTATTTTTCCCTTAAGAACCTTTTAACACCCTCTGTCACCTCAATTTTGCATCAAGGTGAAAGAGGAAATCAAGGTAGATGTATATATTCCATAAAACATGATAAAGGAGCAGTAACAGATAATACAATCAGGAAAGATAGAAACAGGATTAAAAGGTTTGAAACTGAAAAAAAAATTGTTCTTTAAATCAATTCTCATTCCAAAAGTCAAATATGAAGCTCTTATAAGCTCAAAATAGAATAAAACCAAGGTACTCCGGAATATTTCTATAGTTATCGTTAAATTACGAAAAGAGAATACTCTAGATAGCAAGCATATAAGAAATTCTTTACCATAGAATACTCTAAATAATCACTTTGTGCTCTCAAAAATTAAGCAATAGAGTTGCAAAGGCATGAAGATAAAGTATATACATCATCTGTAACAACATGCGAGCAAAGACCATTGCAAGCTGGATTTGGGAGATAGCATGCATGAAAGATATTAAGCAGGTACATACCTTTCATTCCCAAGATTAAGTATGGGATAAAAAGGACCGGCAAGCATAGCAAGAAAACGTAAATTAGGTTGCAGCATCCAAGAAGCTGTTAAGGTCTGCCTGCACTGTTTGCAAGAAAGGGGTGCATAGAAAATGCCATCAGTGTAATAGAAAATAGAAGAAAATCAGATAAGGGTAAGAGACAAAGAGAAATAGGGGACTAAAGCAGAAAGAAAAGAAATTATATACAAATCTGAGACAAATGAATATACCTCAAGTTGGGGAAGGAAAACAAGCAACCGACTTGTCATGTCTTTAAGCAACTACAAACTAGTAGGCATCAGAGGGCAGAGAGATATAAAAATACAAAAACAGGGTACACAGTAAACATTATAGATAGCACAATTGGAACCACCTGAAGATGCAAATCATGGGCATCTTGTTTGTGAGATATAATGGATGGCAACAAGTGGTTAACAACTGGTTGAAACTCTGGTTCCAGGCCAGTCACTGAAACGCCGATAAGCTGAAACGGTAGAAATATAAGAAACCTTAGTGCCAATAAATCTGAGACCAGATGTGATTCATTAATCACATGATGGGATCGTTATTAGGCAGGACATAATCGAAGAGAAATAATATATTTATATATCTATATACACGTATATATATTCATAACTGCAGAAAAGTTAGGATTTTCAAACGATTGGGAATGGACTTGTTATTTCATTGGAGAGGTAGCTATAACAAAAGGACAAATGGTGTGGCATGGGGGGCAAAAATTCAAAGCTTGATAAATAAAATTTATCACAAGCAAGCACATATGGATTTATTCATATTTCATATGCTAAGGCAGATCAAATCAATAATGTCGCAGATATAATTCCCATATCATACCTGTATGAAGAAAATAGCTATGGGATTTCCCCTCAAACAAGATATTCGCACATAGCGACAGGGAGTATAGTTCATGGGATAGATCATGTCACGTCGCGGTGCTTCACAACGTGGGCGAACTTTTACAAATGTCTCTGGCTGTTCAAAAAACGAAATAAAGTAAAAACCCCAGAGCAAACAACTTGGTAGAAAATTCATCTAAAACATGCAGAACTGAAGCTTGAAGCTATATCAGCAGTTCACATTACCCTTAAATCATATACAATCAATTATGTTAAGATACCACAAATGCTAAAGTGGATTCGAAGCAAACAACTTTCATGAGACGAGTTAGACAAAGAAATGAAATTTCCCATACTCAAAACAAAAACAAACAAACAAAAAAGCAGTTGACTAACCTTGTAGCGTAAGCCAACTGAAATTTCCCATTCGAGCACAGACTTGTTGTAAATTCGTATGTGCGATAACAAGCAAGGTTCCTACCAAACCCAGAAGACAAAATTTAAACTAAATCAAAATTAAGTGAATCATAAAATAGGCTGGATTAGAGTTAGGGTTAGAGTAGAAAGCGAGGGACGGAGAGGAGGTACGTTGAGCTCGAGAAGAATCCACTCCTTGGTGTTGGTAGCGGTGGACCAGTGGGAGCGGAGGTCGGCGTCGAGCACGTGACCCGCCTTCTGGGACGGCGACTCACGTGACATTGCCTTCACTTTGTATTCCAGAGGTTTCACCCTCGCCTCAAAGTCTATATCCATCTCTTTCTCTTTCACTGTGTTTCTAGTTTTGAAGAACTGACGAGGGGCTACTGAGTCTGAAGGAGCTATATAGAAGAAGAGTGTTTTCTTTGTTCTGAAATCGTGGTTGGGAAGCTCCTGCGGATGGTCGTCGTCGTTCGCGTTCTCGTCCTCGTGGAGGAGAAATGAGTTGGTGTTGCTATTTTTCTCTTGTTTTCTTTTCTTTTAATATTTTTGTATTAGGATGAGACGGGGCTTCTTCAATTCAGATTTCAATGATTCTGAAGGAAGGTTCAGCTGTATTCAGCTGAGTTGGATTCTAAACCCTCCTATCAGAATTTTTAAGTAATCTAAAACATTTAAGGCCCGTTTGGTAACGTTTTAAGAGGTTGTTTTCATTTTCAGAGAATAAAAATGAAGCAAAAACATCGGTGGCCCAAAAACAGAAAACACTGAGATTGTTTTCATAAAATGAAAACAAGTTCATGTGTATTTGTAGAAAACAGAAAAAAGTTGTTTTCATTCTCGCGGGAAACGTTTTCACAAAAATAACTCACATATTATTTCAAATTGTACTACCAGACACGTTTTCATTATTTTTGTTTTCTGAAGATGTTTTCTAATTAATCTATCAGATGCATTTTCATCTACTGAAAATACAAATTCGTTTTCTTGTTTTCATTCTCTGAAAATATTTTAAGAAAACATTCTTCGAAAACGTTACCGAACGGGTTTAGTGTTTTCAATTTAGATTTCTATAATATTTTTAAAGACTTTAAAAATCCGGGTGTATTCAATTTAGTTTAATGAATTTTTAAGAAGTTTATAAAAGTTTGGGTGTATTCAATTTAGACTTGTTTGAACTTCTAAAATGTTCATCTAAATATGAGTGTATTCAATTAGGACTTGGAAAAAATCCAAATAAATTTATCTGTATTCAAAAGGAGATAGATTTAGAAGGATTTAATTGAGTGTTGGAGTTTGGAGAACTTCTAGGATTTTGGTATAAATAATAAAGGTCAACATAAGTCCAACCTCCACCCCAAGGATCTGAGAGAGGATGGTGCTATTCCCTTGCCATATGATGACACAAATCCCATTGAAAAATTATTAGTTCCCACAAGAAGTTGAATGTTTTTCCGAATATTAATGCCTAGCCAAATCTTTGACAATAGAGGCCAGAATTGAAGTGCTTTTCCTTTTTCATGTTGGGCAAAGACAAACTTTGATCCCAATGCATCCTTATATACAGAGAATAGTGTTGGAAAGAAAGAGTGACTAAAGTCTATACAAATATATCTGAATCTATAATAAAAGTTCATACAAAAGTATGGAAGTCTATAATAACAGTCCATAGAAGTTTATTAAAAATCCGAGTAAACCCTATAGGAGTTATTAATTCCAGGAAATCTGTCACTTAAAAAAAAATCTTTCAAAATCGTGTACAATCCTAATTCAATACACCCCCTTATTCAATATAGATTTTTACTTTTTTTGAGAAAAAACTATAATAATTAAGCACACTTGATTGGAAATCATACAAAGAATTCACTTGATATGGAGAGAATCATGTGCAAAGCACAAAATGACTAAAATCCCCAATTAGCAACTATGACCACACTTACTCGAACTTACAATAAATCAAGTCGCACATCTATATAAACAAAAGTTCTGTACCCAAGGCGGGAAAGTGACGGGCCATTCAATGGTTAGCCGAATGGGCCTTCCATGAAGACTGATCTTGCGCCGCACAAGAAAGGCAAAGTCTCAATCAGTCGCCAAAAACAACCCCAGCCACCCAAATTTGAAGGATTGCAAGCTCAATTGGTATGATTGGTTCAACATTTTGAAACCAAAGCTCAAATTTCTGGAAGCGAGTTGGAATATATGACACATTCGTCTTATGTGCGCGTGGTGACTTCCCTTGTGATCGAGAGCACATCATTATGGGTCTATGTTTTTGGTCTAAATATACCAATTACATGAGACTTCATTTTGGAATGATGACTCTCACCTTGCTGGAATTGGCCAAGATCACCAACCTCCGCTCACATGGAGAATACTATTCAGCAGCAAGCCTCCTGATGGGCAGTCCTCTAGAGCCCCGATGCCTTCCAATAATGGAGTATCCTTTATAGAGCATGTGGTGCTCCTCTTGATGTGGATATGCAAATTCCTAGCATGTCCGAGATCCAACACAATCACTTAAGAACTTGGCGGAAGTTCTTGCAAATGGTCATCGGGTGACCATGGTTCCTATCTTCCTAGACTATCGTTATAGAGGCCTTCACCAGATGCTCACGCTCACACCCATATGGATCTTTTAGTTGTCACTTCAGCTTTACTTTCCGGAGTTAGGACCGACGATCCCAGGATCTGCAACAAGTCGTTCATGGGCTCATCGTTGCTCTGCCTTCCACTACAAAAGCATCATAAAGAAGACTACTTTCACTTCCTCTACGAATGTCAAGAGATGAGGAGTAACCACTTGTTGATTTGCTTGGACCATCGCTTTCTAAAGTATCTGGCTTTGGACCTTGCCTTTCTCCCACATACTGGAAATGAAAGACGAGATGCACCAACTCGAGTATCCTCATCAGTAGAGATCTTCCCTATGGCCTAATAGTGGCCAAAGTGCAAAACTACCTGTGCGACTATGAGCTTTATTATCATGTCGTCATTGGCTATCAGTTAGATTTTGTTCAGAGTATTCCAGTCACCTTAATGGAATTCCTTAACTTGTTTTCTTCGTGAAGGATGGCATCCAATGAGGCAAGTGACGTAACCTCTTTAACGAGCTATAATAACAAGTTGGTTGAGTCATTCATGGTTCCAACTAGGGACCCATAGTTTAGCTTTGCCAATATGTTTCTTGCTTGGTGAGAGAAAGTGTTGGCTAGTTGGTTATCTTAGCTGTGCTCGGATATTGAGGAGAGGATCTTTGAGGATTGACCATCTTCTTACAACAATAATAAAAGTAAAGTGGAAAAAAAAAAAAAAAAAAGGGGAAAAAAAAAAAAAAAAAAGGAAAAAAAAAAAAAAAAAAGGAAAAAAAAAAAAAAAAAGCCTCAAGCTAAAGGTAAAAGTCCGACCCTTGTTGTCTCATTCTTTATTTTGTAATTGTTTTTACTAACATTTCAGAATTTGTAGCCATTGTCGCCGAGAAGAGGAGCTCTGCCAACCCTGTCGACTTTAGCTCTAATAGAGGAGAGAAGAGGTCACAGTCTTCCACACCCAAGGTAAGTCATCCTTCATACTAAATGATTTTCTAGCAATCTACATTTATCATACTATGGATTCTTTGGGAAACACTTTTGAAAGTCTAACTCTGATTTTTCAGAAGGTGCTTCCACACAAGGTGTTAATCCTCCACCTAAGTTCCTCCGGGCTAGAAAGGTTCTGCAGAACCTCCTACCCCCAGATGTGTCTGCCCTCTCTTGAATATTTGTCCCCATGCCTCTTACTCATACATCAAATATTTCAAAAGACTCATTTAAGAGCACTTCCAGCAGTGAGAATGTTGCCATGGCAAGGAGGCTATGGCTAACACTATTCACGAGAATAGTGTCTGCCCTTGCAAAAAGTAAGTTGCACTTCCAGCAGTTGCCATAGCAAGGGGGGTATTATTCAATTTTTTATTTTTTTCACAAATTTGTTTACCTAAACAATTAATTTGGACAATATTTTCGGATGAGATTTTCTGATAAAATATTCGGATAAGATTTTCAGATAAGATTTTCGGTTTCAAATTTCAGATAAATTTCAAAATTTCAAAATCATATAAATTTCATCTGAATTTCAAATTTCAGATAAATTTCATTTGAATTTCAATTTCAGATAAATTTCATCTGAATTTCAATTTCAGATAAATTTCATCCGCGTTTCAAATTTCGGATAAGATTTTCACCCTGTAAAATTGCGCCACGTGTCATATGAATTTCAAATTTCAGATAAATTTCATTTGAATTTCAACTTTTCATTTGAATTTCAAATTTCAGATACATTTCATTTGAATTTCACATTTCAGATACATTTCATTTGAATTTCGAATAAGATTTTCACCCTATCAACTTGTGCCACATGTCATGTCTATTGACCTAAATTTTTCTATAAAACAAAGGCTCAGCTCACAAACCTCTCACACTACATCTTCTCAAAAATTTCATTTCTCAGATTTTAGATTTCATATTTCATCTTCCATTCACAATGTCAGACATGGAGGAGGTCTTGGAGAGGCAAGAGCGAGAAATAAGAGAAAGAAGGCGTAGACGAGCTGCAAGCAAAAGAGCGCAGAGAGATCTAGATCAGCAACTTGTCATGGTTGTGGCCATGCTTGATGAAGAAAACCAGAACAGCCGTGGTTCACATGAAGGCCGTGCCCCAAATGTTGACAAACATATGCATTCTCGGGGTAAGCATCTTATGAAAGATTATTTTATCCCAACATCTCTGTACTCTGATGTTCATTTTCGAGGGAGGTATAGAATGCAACAACATTTGTTCAATAAAATCATGCATGATATTTGCAATTATGATGAATACTTTGTTCAAAAGAGAAATTGTGCTGGTGTTTTGGGACTGCTTCCCGAGCAAAAGTTCACAGCTGTTATACGTATATTGGCGTATGGTGCATCTGCTAATCAGGTGGATGAGATTGCCCGGATGGGGAAGTCCACTGCCTTGGAGAGTTTGGTTAGATTTTGTGATGCAGTCGAAACTCTGTACACCAGGGACTACCTGCGCCGACCCACGCCCAGGGACCTGCAACGACTTCTGCAGAAAGCCGAACGGAGAGGATTTCCAGGTTGGTAGCATCGACGCACTGGCAATGGAAGAATTGCCCAACTGCTTGGCAGGGTGAGTACGAAAATCGGAAACGCCAAAAAAGCATCATCCTTGAAGCCGTTGCAGGTTTCGATACATGGGTTTGGCACGCCTTTTTCATAGTTGCTGGATCTCAAAATGATTTGAATGTCCTGAGTCAATCCCCGATGTTCAATGATGTTTTGACATGAGAAGCCCCAAAAATCACATATGAAGTCAATAATACCGTCTACCAAACTGGGTATTATCTAGTTGACGGGATCTACCCGAGGTGGACAACATTCGTGAAATCACTTCCGCATCCCCGAACCCAGAAGAAAAAATTATTTGCTACATATCAAGAGGGCTATAGAAAGGATGTGGAGATGTGTTTTGGTATCCTCCAAGCTCGGTGGGCGATCATTAGGGGTGCGGCGCGTATGTTTGATGAGGAGGTGTTGAGGAGCATCATGATGACATGCATCATCCTTCAT